CTCTCTCCTCTGTCGTTCCCTCACGACGCTTCGACGAAAGCAATGGGGGGAGGCGGATACCGCCGCGGGCCCGCTCCCGGCGTGACATGCGCCTCGCTGCGGCGAGCAGAGGTGCGGAGCCGACGAACGCGCTAGTAACTGACTATTGACAGCGTGGTAGCGGAATGATAGCGACGTAATGATCATCTATTGTAGTCCCGACCCCTAGACACGGGGTGTGAATACCATTTGACGCGTGGCTACAGAGAACTGCACATAAGAAGCTAGTTAACGGCTGCTACAAATCTTGCGAAGCACTGCGCTACTTCTGAAGCATTGCGCGAAATCACAACTCTCCCAAGGTTCCTTCGGAGCCCACTATATTTTGGATCTTCTTGGAAAATACGTGAAATTATAAAAACACTATCAATAACTTCACAATGCTTCACTAACAGTGCCAACTATACAAACGTCACTTCAGAACTAACCAGCGGAGATCACCCCCCCTTCACTCCCCTCCGTAGTGGAGCTATTCCCTTGCCTACATGATGAAGTATACAAGGTGACTAGAGCTCCTCTGAAGCGTGCAGCAGGAGGACCTCAAATGAAACCTGCAAAGGGCGAAACACACAAGGTCAGTTAACGACATCATTGAAGCATGTACGAAAAAACGACTTAGCAAGCGTGATGGAAAATGATGCCTAGCACTGCACCACAGAGCCGGGGTACCATACCAACCAACCTTGTACCTTCAGGGGAACTAGTACCAAACCTGCACCTGTACCCAACCTACTACACCTGGGGATGGCTCTGTGATGAGTGGTGGTTAAGGTTGATACGTTCAACCTTCGAGCTTCATCAGTCGAGGAGCTGCTCCTTGGCCTTCATGATGAAGTATATAATCGCCAAAGAGCTCCTCTTGAGATCCTCTGAAGTATGCAGAAGGATCTTAAATGAAACCTGCAAAGGGCGAAACACACAAGGTTAGTTAATGAAATCATTGAAGCATGTACAAAAAGACGACTTAGCAAGCGTGATGGAAAATGATGCCCAGCACTGCACCACAGAGCCGGGGTACCATACCAACCAACCTTGTACCTTCAGGGGAACTAGTACCAAACCTGCACCTGTACCCAACCTACTACACCTGGGGATGGCTCTGTGATGAGTGGTGGTTAAGGTTGATACGTTCAACCTTCGAGCTTCATCAGTCGAGGAGCTGCTCCTTGGCCTTCAAGATGAAGTATATAATCGTCAAAGAGCTCCTCTTGAGATCCTCTGAAGTATGCAGAAGGATCTTAAATGAAACCTGCAAAAGGCGAAACACACAAGGCTAGTAAATGACAACATTGAAACATGCAAGAAAAAACGACTTAGCAAGCGGGATGGAAAATGATGCCTAGCACTGCACCACAGAGCCGGGGTACCATACCAACCAACCTTGTACCTTCAGGGGAACTAGTACCAAACCTGCACCTGTACCCAACCTACTACACCTGGGGATGGCAGGTTGATACGTTCAACCTTCGAGCTTCATCAGTCGAGGAGCTGCTCCTTGGCCTTCATGAGAGTATATAATCGCCAAAGAGCTCCTCTTGAGATCCTCTGAAGCATGCAGAAGGATCCTAAATGAAGCCTGCAAAGGGCGAAACACACAAGGTCAGTTAACGACATCATTGAAGCATGTACGAAAAAACGACTTAGCAAGCGTGATGGAAAATGATGCCTAGCACTGCACCACAGAGCCGGGGTACCATACCAACCAACCTTGTACCTTCAGGGGAACTAGTACCAAACCTGCACCTGTACCCAACCTACTACACCTGGGGATGGCTCTGTGATGAGTGGTGGTTAAGGTTGATACGTTCAACCTTCGAGCTTCATCAGTCGAGGAGCTGCTCCTTGGCCTTCATGAGAGTATATAATCGCCAAAGAGCTCCTCTTGAGATCCTCTGAAGCATGCAGAAGGATCCTAAATGAAGCCTGCAAAGGGCGAAACACACAAGGTCAGTTAACGACATCATTGAAGCATGTACGAAAAAACGACTTAGCAAGCGTGATGGAAAATGATGCCTAGCACTGCACCACAGAGCCGGGGTACCATACCAACCAACCTTGTACCTTCAGGGGAACTAGTACCAAACCTGCACCTGTACCCAACCTACTACACCTGGGGATGGCTCTGTGATGAGTGGTGGTTAAGGTTGATACGTTCAACCTTCGAGCTTCATCAGTCGAGGAGCTGCTCCTTAGCCTTCATGATGAAGTATATAATCGCCAAAGAGCTCCTCTTGAGATCCTCTGAAGTATGCAGAAGGATCTTAAATGAAATCTGCAAAGGACGAAACACACAAGGTTAGTTAATGACAACTTTGAAGCATGTAAGAAAAAACGACTTAGCAAGCGTGATGGAAAATGATGCCTAGCACTGCACCACAGAGCCGGGGTACCATACCAACCAACCTTGTACCTTCAGGGGAATTAGTACCAAACCTGCACCAGTACCCAACCTACTACACCTGGGGATGGCTCTGTGATGAGTGGTGGTTAAGGTTGATACGTTCAACCTTCGAGCTTCATCAGTCGAGGAGCTGCTCCTTGGCCTTCATGATGAAGTATATAATCGCCGAAGAGCTCCTCTTGAGATCCTCTGAAGCATGCAGAAGGATCTTAATGAAACCTGCAAAGGGCGAAACACACAAGGTTAGTTAACGACATCATTGAAGCATGTACGAAAAAACGACTTAGCAAGCGTGATGGAAAATGATGCCTAGCACTGCACCACAGAGCCGGGGTACCATACCAACCAACCTTGTACCTTCAGGGGAACTAGTACCAAACCTGCACCTGGACCCAACCTACTAAACCTGGGGAGGGCTCTGTGATGAGTGGTGGATAAGGTTGATACGTTTAACCTTCGAGCTTCATCAGCCGTGGAGCTGCTCCTTGGACTTCATGATGAAGTATATAATCTCCGAAGGTCCTAGAGCTCCTCTTGGGATCCTCTGAAGCGTGCAGAAGGACCTTGAATGAAACCTGCAAAGAGCGCAACAAAATCAATCAGAAAGTGGCAGTGATTGAAGCTGTAACAGCGTAAACATCATTACACGAGAAGATTTTCTTGTGAAAGTATTACTTGAAAGATGCAGGCTCAGTTGCGTGGCAAACGTGGCAGAAGGTGGCTCCCCAGCTCGAGGAAGTTGATTTCGCTCTATGATCGACTTGACCAAGTGATGTAGGATATTCTGCCTGGAGGCGACGTGTGATGTGGAGCCAAAAAAGCAGAGGCGGCTTTTGGGAACAAGCTTGAAGATGGCGATGAGCAGAATGTCCTAGAGTAGAGCAGCAGAATGCGTGGACTTCTGGTGGTGGATCGGTAAGATCCTAACGTTGTGATGTGATCTGAGGTGGAACAGCCTGCGGTTGGATTTGTGCCTTGCTGGATCTATGGTGGTCCCCAACATGCCAGCCTGTACGATGGTGGAACACTCAGATTCGTGGACAATACGTTGAAACTAGCTTGTGACTGGACAACCTCGGTTTGAGTATCTTATGGGTGACGAAAACTTTATCCTAGTGCCATCAACATGGCCCACGTGGCCTGTTTGAACGGCCACAAAGCCACACGGTGGAATCACCGACATGGACAAGAATGTCAATCACTTGGGATGGATTTCAACCTGTGCGGTTCGTGTCCCGAAGCGTGCCGTTGAAAGCCGCTTTATCGCTCAGCAAGAGGGTGCATGGAGGAAGAATTGGAGGGAAACCGCGGTTCCGTTTTCGGCTGGGCCTGACACAACTAGCAGCAACACACATGATGTGGGATGGCGTTCCTGGGATGTCCTGAGAGAGCCAGGCAGGAGGTGTAAGTCAAACGTTCTGTGATTTAGGGAATTGTTGAGCACACGGGAAACTCCTTGCAGGTTAGCGAGACTGGTCCTCCTGCTGGTGTTCGCCAACTCGCGCGAGCAGTCTCGCTGTGGGTCTCGGTTGCCCTGATTTGAGTGGAATGGTTTTCGCACAATTACCAGGTTGATTCAATGACGAAACAAGTTTTCGGCGACGAATTTTATTGGTAAAAGTTTCGCTGAGGTTGGCGGCACGTTGGACAGTTGTACTTTCAGCGCGGTTGAACACGGTTCGTTTTTTCCTAGCGGGTTTGGAGTTTGTTGCGAGGTGAAGCTTGGGTTGGGGCACTTGCCCCGGCTCACACCTGCTGATTCGTCTTCACTTTCTGTGTTCGTCTAAAGCAGTGTACCGAAATTATCCAATGCTGATGACGCCTCAATCGCGTACAAATGCTCCCTTGTCGCACCCCAGCCGTACTAGCAGCTCCATGCGCGGTCTTCGTGCTTTCACATGGTTCCCTTCCACGTGTGTCTCGCAGCCGCCGAGCCGTCAAGCCGCCGAGCTGCCGGAATCCATGTACGAGCTCGTCGTTGCGAAGTTATCTCTGTATGGAGTATAGAAAAAAAGCTTCAGCGAGCGGTCATGCACGGATGCACGATGATGCTCCAGTGCATACAGGCATCTGCGAGAGTCGTACAGCGCCATGTCATGGATTTAAGTCGTGCCGCTGCGTTCCGCCATGCATGCGACCAACGACGCCACGATGTCGCTCCTCCAGCCACCCTCCGCATTCCGCGGCCGCCTCTGCACTGCGACGACGACACGTCGGCGCCAACTCGACGACGTCGAGCGCTGTTCATCCCGCCGCAGTGCGACGCAACCTAAACGACACCGCATGCACGCTCGCATAATCTCCAACGTGCGATTCTCAGCCGCAAAAGACAGCCAGTTTGCCGCCCGCGCGTCGCACCCCTCTCACCATGGATGCCTGATGCCCCTTTTAGCCAGAACCCTAGAGTTGGAGGGATCGATTGTGAGCAGCACCAGGAAGTAAAAGCGTTGCGCGCTCCCATTCGACGCGCCCCGTGCATGCAACTCTCTCCGTACCTCGCGCCTCCTCGCGGATTCCGTACGTAGACGAACGGCAGCAGCAGCGCCAGGTGGTTGGGTATATGAGCTGCTCCAGCCGAGCCAGCTTCAAGTCAGCCGCTGCAGCGGAATCGGCCTGCCTTCGTCAGCAGCAAGCCTCGCTGCCTTCGCTGTTCCCCGTTCCCTTCCACTCCGTTGTTCGTCTTCGCCTCTGCCTCCCCGCAGTCCCTGCAGTCCCTGCAGTCCCCGCTCTTCCACTCCACTTCATTTCTAGGCGTATTCGCCCAGAAGCTACTAGCAGCGCACAACAGTGCCTGAGAATCTCTGCTCTGCTGCTCTCTGCTGCAGCCGCAGCCCGTGGAGCTTTTTCCCACTCTCTCCCCAGTCAGTCGGCAGCTTGTCCGTGTCGTGTCGTCCGCCCCTCTTTCTCCCCGTGCCTCTCCGTCTTCCCATGGGTTCCGACGGGTGCTTCAAGGGCGATGTGGTGGCGGGGGTAGCGTGTATGGGGTTGAGCGGGAGGGGGAAGGAGGAGGGTGGTGCCAGGAGTGGCGCGGAGGAGGGGGGCTGGGCCATGTGGCCTGTGAACGGCGCTGCAGGGGTGGAGAACGGTGTTACAGTGGTGAAGGACGGATTAGTTCATCCCCACGCGTGTACCAATCCCACCAGTGCTGCTACTGGATGCGCCTATAACGAGCCTAAGGTGCAGCCTGTAACTGCAGCACCCGGGTCCCACTGCGAGTCCGCTGTGCCGAGGATGAACCCCTTAAAGCCCAGCAAGCCGGTGGCGTGTGTGCTGGGCATCGGTACGGCGAATCCGGACACGATTCGGCCGCAGGGGCAGTTCGCCAAGGAGTACCTCTCTCGCGTGGGCTGCCACCATGCTGAGACCCAGGCCAAGTTCGAACGCATCTGTGAGTCAAATGGAGGGGTGGATGGCTTCAGAAGTTGCATTTCGCATAGCAAGCCCTTTTCTCTCTCTGAGTGTCCTCTCCCCTCTCTGCCCTGTGCCCTCTGCTCTCTGCATCCCCTCCCTCCTACCCTCGCACACCAGGCTATTACACGGGCATAGGCAAGCACCACATATGTATACATCCCTCCCTCCCTCCCTCGTTCTCTGTCTACTATCTGCCCTTTCCCTCTTTCCTTTCCTCCTCTTCTCCCTCCTGCGTCTCCTCCCTCCCCCACCAGGCTACCACACGGGCATAGACAAGCGCCACATGGTGCTGCCATGGGACACCATCGCCGCCAACCCGTGCCTGCAGGAGTTCGGCGCGCCCTCCCTCGCCATGCGCCAGGACATCCTGCGCACCGAGGGCGTCAAGCTCGCCGCTGCCGCCTGCGAACGCGCCCTCGCCGAGTGGGGCGGAAATAGAGCAGGCGCGGGGGGAGCGGGTGGGGGGGAAGCTGCGTCCGTGGGCAGTGTGGGAGGGGTGGGCGAGGTGGGCGGGGAAGGGGCTGGGGCGGGGGGGATAACGCACCTGGTGGTGGTGACGGTGAGCGGGGTGCACCTGCCGGGGCTGGACGTGCAGCTGGTGGAGGCGCTGGGGCTGCGCCGCTCCACCCAGCGCGTGCTGCTGCAGATGCTCGGGTGCTACGCGGGGGTCACTGCGCTGCGCATCGCCAAGGATCTCGCGGAGAATAACGCGGATGAGGGCGCGAGGGTGTTGCTCGTGTGCTCTGAGCTCAACAGTCTCATTTTCCAGGTTGGGGTTCATCTTTCAGACGCAGAATCCTCTTCCAGGTGTGACCTTGTATTGTGGCGCGTAATCGCTACGGAATTTTCTTCCAGGGTGCTTTTCGTCATGCCTCTGGCCTCCCTCTATTTTCAAACCACCTCATCTCCCTTACCCTGCCCTCCCCTCCGCTGCCCTCTCATCCGCCAGGCACCGCACGAGTCGCTTCCGGACAGTCTCGTGTGTGCAGCCATCTTTGGCGACGGGGCAGCTGCCATGGTCGTGGGGGCCAACCCTCGCACCCACGCCTCCCACGCCGCACCTGCCGCACCCGCCATACACACCGCACCTGCCGCACCAGCCCTGCAAGTAGCTGCCACCTCTGCACAGCAGCAGCAGCAACAGCAAGGAGGAGGGGCCTCCTCCCCACCGCTCTCCCCCAGCCCACCGGCCGGGATTTCCCCCGAGAAGCCCATCTTTGAGATTGTTCGTGTGGCGGAGTTTTTTCTGCCCGAGACAACGCGGCACATTGCGGGGGATCTGACTGAGGCGGGGCTGCTGGTGCACCTGCGGAGGGAGGTGCCGCTGCTGCTGCCCGGGCCGGTGAAAGATTTCAGTGCTGCCCTGCTGGGACTGGCTGGCGTGGGATTTGCTGAGAGCTTCTGGGCGGTTCATCCAGGCGGACGGGCGATTTTGGATGCAATTCAGCGGCAGCTGGGGTTGAAGAAGCATGCGCTGAAGGCGAGCAGGTGGGTGATGTGTGCATGTACTGGTTCGCCTGATTGCTGTCTTTTTTGTGAGAGAAAGCGATTATTCTTCCCCCCCCTCCACCCCCTTTTTTTTCATGTTATGTGCAGGGAGGTGCTTCGGCAGTACGGCAACATGTCAAGCGGATCTGTGCTGTTTGTGCTGGATGAGATTCGGAGGAAGAAGAAGTGTGCCGAGCCTCAGTGGGGAGTGGCTTTAGGGTTTGGCCCTGGGGTCACAGTTGAAGGAGCATTGATGCGGTTGCTATGAAAGGAAAACAGAAGGGGGGCTGGAAAATGGTGGTAGGGGGTGGTTTGTACAGACAGGAATATACCTGTTCTGGGCTAGTAAGCATGTACATAATAACGAATGGGTATGTATATAACCATTATCGATTGGTCTTTGAAAAGATTAGTCATGGTGATTGAGAAGAATCTACGAGCGCTTTACCAAAATGAGCTGGATTTTGGCGCGAAAACCCTCGCGGCAATATGGGGGTCGCATGACCCAAACATGCGTTCTATGTTGTTTGGGTCATCCGCAAATCGCGCATGCCCGGAACAGTGCTCATGACCCTAACCTGGATACGCCCTTAGATTCGAGATACATTACTCTCCGGCGGCCTTCTAGATTAAAGCCCGAGTCTAGAATGGCAAGGGTTCATAAATACTGAACTTGAAAAGGGTTGCGCGAAGGTTTACGAGAAGAAATTTCGCCGGAGGCAGGTGGCGAAGGCGGAGTGCTCCACAGTGTATCGCAAATCAACTTCAACTTCAAGAAACTTGAACAAACACTAACGACAAAACCAAACCCAACCACACTCACGCAGCTCACAACCCAGAGTTTCGCCAAGTCCACAAGCGCACTCTTGGAGCAGGCTGAGAAAAGCGTGCGAAGTACCGGATACATAGAACATCACTGTTAGGAAACTAAGTATCCAGACTAAAATAGCTAGGTATAACATGTGAGAATATATACTTTTATGGCGGAATCGAGAGGAATCCGAGGACCGAGGGAGGGAATGTGGCGCGAATGCGAGTGTGAAGCACGGAGATAAAAGGCGGCACGAGATGAGAAATTAGAGCGTTGTCGACCTCGCTTCCCCCGTCCGTCGATCTCGCATCCACCGTCCGTCGCCCTCGCTTCCCCCTTCCGTCGCCCTAGCTTCCCCCATCCGTCACCACAGCTTCCCCCATCCATCGCCCTCGCTTCCCACTCCCATCACCCTCGCTTCCCCCGCCCATCGCCCTCGCTTCCCCCGCCCATCGCCGCCCATCGCCGTAGCTTCCCCCGCCCATCGCCCTCGCTTCCCCCTCCCATCGCCCTCGCTTCCCCCTCCCATCGCCCTCGCTTCCCCCTCCCATCGCCCTCGCTTCCCCCTCCCATCGCCCTCGCTTCCCCCTCCCATCGCCCTCGCTTCCCCCTCCCATCGCCCTCGCTTCCCCCGCCCATCGCCCTCGCTTCCCCCTCCCATCGCCCTCGCTTCCCCCTCCCATCGCCCTCGCTTCCCCCTCCCATCGCCCTCGCTTCCCCCTCCCATCGCCCTCCTTCCCCCTCCCATCGCCCTCGCTTCCCCCTCCCATCGCCCTCACTTCCCCCTCCCATCGCCCTCGCTTCCCCCTCCCATCGCCCTCGCTTCCCCCGCCCATCGCCCTCGCTTCCCCCTCCCATCGCCCTCGCTTCCCCCTCCCATCGCCCTCGCTTCCCCCTCCCATCGCCTCGATTCCCCCTCCCGTCGCCCTCGCTTCCCCCTCCCGTCGCCCTCGCTTCCCCCTCCCGTCGCCCCCGCTTCCCCTGCCCATCGCCCTCGCTTCCCCCTCCCATCGCCCTCGCTTCCCCCTCCCATCGCCCTCGCTTCCCCCTCCCATCGCCCTCGCTCCCAACTCCCATCGCCCTCGCTTCCCCCTCCGGTCGCCCTCGCTTCCCCCTCCCGTCGCCCCCGCTTCCCCCGCCCATCGCCCTCGCTTCCCCCTCCCATCGCCCTCACTTCCCCCTCCCATCGCCCTCGCTTCCCCCTCCCGTCGCCTTCCTCGCTCCCATCGCCATCTTCCCCTTTGCTTGTTTCCCCCTGCTCATTCTCCTTCCCCCCGCTCACTCTGTTTCCCCTGCTCATTCTTCCCCTTTGCTTGTTTCCCCCTGCTCATTCTCTTCCCCCCAGCTCACTTTGTCTCCCCTGCTCATTCTCTTCCCCTTTGCTTGTTTCCCCCTGCTCACTCTCTTCCCCCCGGCTCACTCTGATTCCCCCTGCTCATTCTCCTTCCCCTTGGCTTGTTTCCCCCTGCTCATTCTCTACCCCTTTGCTTGTTTCCCCCTGCTCATTCTCCTCCCCCCCGCTCACTCTGTTTCCCCTGCTCATTCTTCCCCTTTGCTTGTTTCCCCCTGCTCATTCTCTTCCCCCTGGCTCACTTTGTCTCCCCTGCTCATTCTCTTCCCCTTTGCTTGTTTCCCCTGCTCATTCAGTTCCCCCCTGCTCACTCTGTTTCCCCCTGCTCATTCTCTTCCCCCCTGCTCACTCTGTTTCCCCCTGCTCACTCTCTTCCCCCCTGCTCACTCTGTTTCCCTCACTCTGTTTCCCCCTGCTCATTCACTTTCCCCCTGCTCACTCTGTTTCCCCCTGCTCATTCTCTTCCCCCCTGCTCTCTCTGTTTCCCCCTGCTCATTCTCTTCCCCCCTGCTCACTCTGTTTCCCCCTGTTCACTCTCTTCCCCCCTGCTCACTCTGTTTCCCCCTGCTCATTCTCTTCCCCCCTGCTCACTCTGTTTCCCCCTGCTCATTCTCTTCCCCCCTGCTCACTCTGTTTCCCCCTGCTCATTCACTTCCCCCCTGCTCACTCTGTTTCCCCCTGCTCATTCTCTTCCCCCCTGCTCTCTCTGTTTCCCCCTTCTCATTCTCTTCCCCCCTGCTCACTCTGTTTCCCCCTGCTCATTCTCTTCCCCCCTGCTCACTCTGTTTCCCCCTGCTCATTCACTTTCCCCCTGCTCACTCTGTTTCCCCCTGCTCATTCTCTTCCCCCCTGCTCTCTCTGTTTCCCCCTTCTCATTCTCTTCCCCCCTGCTCACTCTGTTTCCCCCTGCTCACTCTCTTCCCTCCTACTCGCTTTGTTTCTTCCTGTTCACTCTATTTTCCGCTGCTCAATCTGTTCCCCCTTTCACTCACCCCCATTTCCAACCTCGCAGGGTACAAGTCCCAGCACCATGGCCCAGGGTTTATTGCATGCAGTGTAGCAGAGACAAGAGTGGGTATAAAACATTACATTTCCAAGCTGTCTTCTTCGTGTTGATAGTCAGTTGTTCCCTAAAAAAATAAAAGTACTTTCGCTGTTGGACTTTTTTTGTAGTGGTCATGTGCATGGCTGCTCATAAGCTCAGGGTTTGTATTGTATTACCGTGTAACAAATCATCCACCATGAATACATGGCATGGCTGGTCATTGTGGTACTATCAAACACCAACATCACCACAACCAGTTGCATAGAGGGCCTGTACAAACACAAACTAGCGCGTAGGGAGGGGGGAGCCGCGCGGGGAGAAGTGGGGAAAGCAGCTCGTCAGGAAGGGGAATGCGAGCGCGCATGGAAGGGGGGAAGCTGCGCGTAGGAAAAGAGGGAAAGGGAGGGCGGGGTGAAGGGGGAAAGCAGATTGAGGGAAGGGGGGACACCGCATAGGGACGGAGGGTAAAACAGCATAATCTAGAGGCGTGGAGGGAAGGAAGGCGCGGGAGGGATAGTCTAGAGGGAGGGAAGCGACGGGGTGCGACGGCAGGGACCAGAATGATGAGAGCGACAAGAGACACGATAGCGACGAGAGCGACGAGAGCGGAAGGATGAACGGGAGAAGGGGAAGCGGAGGGGAAGACAAGGGGGAAAAGGGTGGGAGAAACATGGGGGGAAACGGAGGGCAGGACAAGGGGAAAGTGAGGGAGGGACAAGGGGAAAAACGGGTGAATGAGCCGGGTGCCAATTCACGTGTCAGTGTGGCTGCCAGCTGGCATATGTGATGTCCGGCTGGCCGTGTTTCTGTAAGGCGACGCGCAGGGCGCGGGCGGCAGGGTTCCCCATGGCAGCTGGGCACACACACACCAGGGTTTCCAGTGGGGAGGGGGGGGAGGGGAGGGGAGAGGCGAGAGGCATGAGGAGAGTGGTATAATGAAATATAGCCTAATCATGCACCCAGCACCTAATAAGGGGGTGGAGGGGAGAGGGAGGGGTGGGTGGGGGGGAAGGGGGAAATGGTGGAGCGGGGAAGGGGCGGATATTGTGATTAGTGCATGGTTCACAGTGCATGAGGCATGAGGCACGTGGAATGGTGCATGGTGCATGGTGCATTGGGCATACCGTTTTGAGAGGGGAAGGAGATGAGGGGCTGAGAGGGAAAGGAGGAGAGGGGCTGAGACGGAAAGGAGGAGAGGGGCTGAGAGGGTAAGGAGGAGAGGGGCTGAGAGGGAAAGGAAGAGAGGGACTGAGAGGGAAAGGAGGAGAGGGGCTGAGAGGGAAAGTAGGAGAGGGGCTGAGAGGGAAAGGAGGAGTGGGGCTGAGAGGGAAAGGAGGAGAGGGGCTGAGAGGGAAAGGAGGAGTGGGGCTGAGAGGGAAAGGAGGAGAGGGGCTGAGAGAAAAAGGAGGAGAGGGACTGAGAGGGAAAGGAGGAGAGGGGCTGAGAGGGAAAGGAGGATAGGAGCTGAGAGGGAAAGGAGGAGAGGGGCTGAGAGGGAAAGCAGGAGAGGGACGGAGAGGGAAAGGAGGAGAGGGGCTGAGAGGGAAAGGAGGAGAGGGGCTGAGAGGGAAAGGAGGAGAGGGACGGAGAGGGAAAGGAGGAGAGGGGCTGAGAGGGAAAGGAGGAGAGGGGCTGAGAGGGTAAGGAGGAGAGGGACGGAGAGGGAAAGGAGGAGAGGGGCTGAGAGGGTAAGGAGGAGAGGGGCTGAGAGGGAAAGCAGGAGAGGGACTGAGAGGGAAAGGAGGAGAGGGGCTGAGAGGGAAAGGAGGAGAGGGACGGAGAGGGAAAGGAGGAGAGGGGCTGAGAGGGAAAGGGGGAGAGGGGCTGAGAGGGTAAGGAGGAGAGGGGCTGAGAGGGAAAGCAGGAGAGGGACTGAGAGGGAAAGGAGGAGAGGGGCTGAGAGGGAAAGGAGGAGAGGTGCTGACATGGAAAGGAGGATAGGAGGCGGAAGACGCGGAGAAGCGCGACGACGAACAGATGGCAGAGCCATTGATGTGACTGCATGCGGAAATGAAAGGATGCGGTCCAGGCAGGGGAACTGAAACCGTGGTGTGAAGACAGGCGGGAGTGCTGCGCGCTACAAGGTGAGCGAGCGACGGAATGAGTGAGCGCGGGAAGAGAGTGTGTGAGCGACAGGACGCATTCAGGGACGGGAGTGCGTGAGCGGCGAGAGTGAGTGTGCGGAACTGGAGTGTGTGAGCGACTGGACCTAGGTCATCAGCTGACGCAAGGCGATTGCCCTGTTTGGGCGGTGGGTTTGTTCGAGCGACGGAGGGAGTGCGCGACGGATCGAGTGAGGGACGGATGACGAGCGGCAGAGAGGTAAGGGATGGACGGGAGGGAGGAGAAGGACAGGAGCGAGGCGCGGGACGGAAGGGACGGAGGGTGTTGGGCGACGGGAGGGACGGGACGTACGTCCGCGACGGGAAGGACGGGAGGGACGGAGGAGGGACAGAAGGCACGACTGGGACGGGAGTGACGGGAGCGGCGGCCAGGACAGACGCGACGAGGGCGACGGGAAGAGCGGGAACGACGAGAGGGACTAGAGAGACGGGAGGGTCGAGTGCGACTGGAGAAGCCGGAGCGGCGGATACAACGGAAGAGATGGTTTATGAGATTTCACTTGCGCCTACCGCGAGCGATCGGATGAATTGGGAGTGTAGTTATCGGTAGCTGGCGATATTATTGTGGGCTATGGAGCCTACTACTAAACGAGTCTAGAAAGGTAGCTTCAAGCTTCAAGTTTCCGGAAGTGTGAACAGTTGTGTCAGTTTTTGTTTGTTCTGGCGAGGGTCGTCAGTGGTTTTGCTGTTGTGCTTTTATCCAATCACATTCCTGCCCTTCAAACACCTTCACACTGGATCGCGAGAGAGCCCCACAGAAAAGCAGGTTACCGTGTTAACCTGCGAAATCATGTTCAAGAATCTTGAACTTGAACCCTTGCCATTCTAGACTCGGGCTTTAACTAGGTGGATACGAATCCTCCTCGCAGCTCCAACGTCGCAATTAGCAGGACGATACTGTAAAAGCCTTCGCATTTCGTGGTGACGCAGCAATGGCAGTAGTATCTTGTTCTCCGTCTGCTGCCATTCGACATTATGGTTTCATAGAATCCTCCAGCTCTCGCAGGTTCGCTCAACGCATTCAAGTTCATCCAATCAGACGGTCAGCAGCTACATGCGTCCCTCGTCGTGCTGTTACTGTCGCAGCTTCCCCCACGCCAGATGATGGGATTGACACGTCAGCATTACCTACCCCGTCTCCAGCAGTCAGCTTATCCACCAGCAGTCAGGCAGCTCCGTCAATCACTGCGACCCTTGCTTCCTCTACCGACAACGTTAACGTCCCCGTTGACGTCTCTGTTGCTGCTGACGGAACATCCTTCACTGCTCCTTCAGGTGACGCTTCAGTCTCGCTCATGTCATCATCTGCAGCCCCGTCGTTCGCGGAAGCACCGTCGCCGTATGAGCTGTCGAGCCTCGAGGCGGCCCTTGAGCAGCAGCCTGTCATTCTGGTGGTCGTCGCGTCCGTGCTTGTGTTGATCTACCTCGTCGCAGGAGGTGCGTTTTTCCCCCCGTGTATCGCGTCCGTCTCGTGCGCTTTCATTTCGTTCAATAGCTTAACATTGAGCTCATAGCCTCATTTGCTGACTTCACTGCTACGTTTCCGCCATGTCTGGCCTTTGTGCAGAGTTGGGGCGTTCCCGAGGGTGGTAGGTAAGGTTACTAGCAAGCAGTGGGAGGCGGATCAGATCTGCCTTAGTTGAATGTAGATTGTACATTTGTATAGCTTTCTGAGGAATGTAGTGTACTTCCTGTGGTGAGGTCTGGTCAGAGGAATGTGACGCATTTGCCTGTCACGGCTCAACTTATCACATGACATTGCCGAGCTTTTTACCTTATTATTCGAATTGCAAATCACATTTACAAAAAAATAATTCAAAGAATGTCTGGTATAGATAATTTATTTCAACCAGCCTTACCCTACTATGCCTTATGGCTAGAGAGCAGGCCAGCTTATTACCTAAATATAACCCAAACGCATTTTGCTGATGATCCAGGCTCCAGAGTCAAGCTCAGCAGCTCGCATCAAATCACAACGGCTACACGCTAGCCAGCCAGCCAGCCCCTTCCTCCCATCTTATCATAGTACGCCTGAATGCCATGGTTGGTTCTCCTGCTCACCCACACTCACGCCACGATGCCTCCAGTGAAGAGCAGCAGCGACTCTGCTGCCATTGCATCCTCGTCCTCAGCGCCCTCCTCCCTCCCCTTCCCCTCCTCTCCCTTCCCTCCACCCACACATGCTGCAGTCACATTCGCACCAACTCTCATCGCCTCATATTCACCCTCCCCTCCCAGCTTCAACTGCCAAAGGTACCCAATAACCACCCCTTCACAATCCTCCACCCTCCTCCCCACAGCCACACCCGTGGCCTCCCCCTCCCCATTCTCCCCACTTCGCCCCCCTTCCCGCCCCTGCCACCGCACCCGCACCCCCCCTTCAACCACAGCAGGGCAACCCCCCATCACTCCTTCCACCCCCAAGCCCACCGTGCTCCCATCAAGAGTGACAGTGGGGAGCGAGGCGGCACCGAGGGAGAGCAGCCAGGAGCAGCAGGAGAGCCCCACAAGGCGGTGAAATGCACCGTTCGCCCACAGCGCCTTCATGCTGGAGTGCTCACTGCGTGATGATAGGCTTGCAAACACCGTGGGCACGGCTGATTGCTCCATGCTCTCTCTCAGCTGCTCCGCTGATGCCGTCGCTGCTGCTGCAGACCCGACCAATCGGATTGCTCCGCCGACGGATGGTGATTGGCTGGTTTCGGTCGAGGCACGCAGGCCGTTGATCGTGATGTGCGATCCGACGAGTCGCGACGCTCGAGGCGCGATGACGCCGGAGGTGTTGGCGGCGAGCAAAGCAGGGTGAGCAGTAACAGACGCGGGGGTTGCGGCGGACACGAGCGCGTGAGCGCCATCGGGTTCCCCTTCCGCCTCCGCATGCTCCCCCATCACGCCCCCATCCCCGCGCCCGTCGTCTCCCCCGCACTGCTCGCTCTCCGCCTCCTCCCCGTCGCCCTCCCCCCACTCCTCCTCGTCGTCGTCGTCGCCCGTCTCGTCGCTCCAACCCTGCGACTCTGTGCGAGTCACCACCGTCGTCGACGCGGACGACGACACCGAGGCTGACTGCTCCGGCGCGAGGCTCGGCCCGACCAGCGCGTGAGGCTGGGCACGAGGAGGTTCGGAGAAGTCACCGGAGCCAACCAGCACGTGCGCAGCGGCGCCAGCGGCCGGCACGGGAGGGGGCGGGGAGCGCCCGAGAGTCAGCTGCGTGTCTGGGAGCGCTTCCATGCGATTGGAGGCGATTGCCGCTTCTCCAACCGCGTTCCACGCCGCGTCTGGCGCCGCAAGAGCCGCCTCCGCATACATCGGTCGTGGAGCCTGCCACATGAAGCCCTGATTCCGCGCGGTCGGCGGCGGCAGGGAGAGGGAGAGCAGCGGTTGTTGCGGCGAAACGCCCATTCGCGGGAGAACCATGAGCTGCGTCGCGCTGTTGTTTCCGCCGTTTCCGCACCATTGCCCCTGTTGCGCAACGGCCATCTGCGCCGCTGCTTCTACTCCCCCATCTGCACCTGCAGCGCCGCGCTCCTGCGGAGCAAACGCGAAACCCGCAGCCGCAGCAATGGCTGCCGCGGCGGCGGCGGCGGCGGCGGGATTGGCGCTGGTGGAGCGGGCGGAGGCGGAGTGAAGGAGGAGGCGAGCGGCAGCAGTCGCGGGGGGAGCAGGCGCCGGGTGCAGCGTGTGAAGCGGGCGTTGCCCTGATGTCGTTACCACGCACGCCCCCGTTCCGTCCGTCCCAACCGCGCCCGCGCTCGCGCCTCCGTTAACCTTGACGGCGCCGGATGATTTGCAGTTAACCTGCCGTCTCCTGCCGGCCGCCGTTTGCTTGCTTGTGACGGACCGGTTGCGGCCCCACCGCCCCCCGCTGCCGCTGCTGCTGCCACGTGGCAGGGCAACGGACGACATCGCGTCCTTCGCGCCGCTCTCCTCGGCGTCGCAGCCGCCCCTGCTGCACGCGCTAGTGGCGGTGGGGGAGGTCAGATTCGACGGATCTGATAAGCTATCGAGACTCTCCTCGCACTCCACTAGGGGATCGAACGCCGCGCAGGCCGCTCGTGCGCCGGCATCTGTGTCGCGGATCGGCGCCGGTCCGCCGTTAGTGCAGATGCGAGGAAGGACGATTGGGCAGGTCAAGAGGGTGGGGGGAGCGGCAGAAGGGGGGAAGCAAGCGGACGCGGGCGCGGGAGCAGCTGGGGAAGCGGAAGGCAGGGTGAGGAGCTCGGCTTTGCGGGCACTGCATGGCGCAGCAGCGTTTGCGACGATGGCGGAGGCGATAGCGGCAGGCGACGGCACGAGGAGACGCGGCTTGACTGGCCCGCTCGCGCGGGGACCGCTGCTGGCGCCTATATTGCCGGCGAAACGCGACGGCAGCTGCATGAGAGGTACGGGGGATGCGGACTGTCGCATTGCACCCTGCGTCGCGGGACTGCTGGGCGGCTTACTGGACACTACGCGACGAGGAACGCCGTCCACGACAATATCGGGTGTGGCGTTGAGTAGCCGGCCGAGGGGCGTGCCCTGTAGCGCCTGCATCCCGCGTGCAAACGCAACCGGATCATAACGCGTACGCGGCGGGAGCACGGGGAGAGGAGTGGCGGGGTAGGAGATCGAGAGAGTGATGGTGGCAGGGGTGGGCGGGTGGGACGCAGCTTGGGGTTGCGGAGGAGGAGGCGGGGCCGCAAGGGAAGGTAGGCGGAGAGGTGCGGTGCTGAGCGCAGCTAGGGAAGCGGAAGCGGATGGCGTGGCGGGGATGGTGAGGGGCGGAATCGATGCGGCGAAGAGTTTCCGCGGGCGCATAGCGGCCGCGTCATTTGCGGTCGGATCGTCTACCGCCGGCCGCTTCTCCCCCGTCACCGGCACCGGAATCGCATCGGGGCTGTTTGACCGACACGCTGACTGCGCCGGCGGGGAAACTGACGGCTGCCGGCTGCTGCTGCTAGGGCTGAAGACTGCAAGAACAGCCTCGACACTGCGAGGAAGCACCATCTGCATCTGAGTATCGGTGCACGCTGCTAGTGTGTGGTTTCCTGCCGCGCTTTCGTCCGAACGGGCGCCTGCTTGGCTTTCGACCATCATTTGCGGCGCGTTACGCGGGGATAGGCGAACGAGGTGTGGGGCGGAGTTGAGGGCGGTGACCTGGGGCGCGGTGATCGCTGCCATACCGGAAACTGCGCAATTTTCGTCGACGGATAAAATAGATCGAAGCAGTGAAGGGAGAGGAATCAAGATCCGTCGTGTGAAGTGCGATGGAGTTATGCGATCGACCAAGCTAGCTACGGGCTACGGTGCGAGAGAGTACATAGATAATCGGATGACTGCGTTCCGTGAGACTGGAGTATCACTGAACAGAACCGACAATTATCCAGAGTGAATAAATATACCAGGCTGAAGTGGTGGGTGGTAAGCTACGGGTTCAAGAGAACACGACGGCGGAGGCTGACGGCTGCTGCTCTTTTGTGAAATGTGTGAGCGCACAACTTGCCGAGGTTGTGGAGGCGAGCGGGTAATAGAAGCAGGAGCCAAGAGGGATCTTTTGAGGAACGAGATTTGTGGTGCGCGGATTGGGAAAGCTGGGTTTGGGATGGCTGGGAGTTGGATAGGATGTGACAAGAGGGAGAGAAGTTCGCAAAGAAATCGCCCCTCTCGCGCTCCACATTCAATAAGCCGTACCGCCCGCGCTTCGGGTCCCCTCTCACATTCCACTCACTAGCCGAGACGCCATTCGCAACATGGAAATGTTGGTTCTCGAGCGCGTCTCGGAAAGCTGGGGATCCTGCGATGGCATGCGTCGCATGCAGCTTGGGCGTGCCCTGCTGCCGAAGCCATCCCTCTCACGTTTGAATTTGAGCCTGAGGTGTGAGCTTACGACGCTGTGCGACGTGCACGTCGGCCCGTGACAAGTTTAGTGACAGATGGACACACAGGATTGCCCCAGGCGTCATCCGTTTCGCAAAGGTGAATTCATAAAAATGTCGCCCGATTCTCCTCTTTGCCGTTTGCGACGCAGAGCGAAGGACATTGTGTCGCTGACAGAAGTCGCATTGAGGCCAAGTTGTCGGGCAGTTAGTGCGGTCTGGAACCGTTTTTGCATGGTCTTGTACGAGTGCTAGGAAATCGTGTGGGCGGCCCGCGCCCCGCCCACAGCCATGCGACTTTGCGAAAGTGGCCTGGACTGGTAGCCACCTACCCGTTTCGGCCTGAACGACGCTCCTGGTTTGTTGACGTGCCACCTCAGAATTGTCGCTCGCCCTATCTGTTCACAGCGTAATCGCAAACGCAAGCCTAACGACGGCATTTCAAAAGTCGCGAGCAATTCTCAAGTTTGGGGATGAGAATTGTCCCCGCCAGCGGGCATTTTGAAAAATCACGTTGGACATTTCAAAATACATTGAGATGAGGCTCCGCGCATGCTTCGCCGCAAAAGGCGCAAGCTTAGCGTACAGGCTGTCATAACACGTATCAATAGACGAAATAGCAACAAAAAAACATAACACTTGTTTACTCTTGTACAAGCCCATCCTATCAATGCTAGCTAGCTTGAATCTTCATAATTAGCATCAGCAATACTTGATGTCAAGAGAGAGAATGTGACCATAGTTGTGATATGAAGGGAATGTTTCTATAACATTTGCCCCACATTTGCCTTGCTCAAAAACCAGACATTATGAACCAATGAAAGGGAATACAGTATGCCTCAACACAAATGGGGTTCATTCAGAACGGGGCTCATTCGGAATGGACCATGGTTATGGTAATAAGCAAAATGGAACATCAACATTCTCCATAACATAGCACAGCTTTGCACTCAAGGGGGCTGCTGCCCAAGCCAGCCCAGTGTTGAGTCTGGTCAGAATACATACTAGTACCATCATCTCCACTGCCGTGCTCCATATATGGAACCTCACATGCACTTCCTCATACCACCATTCAAGCTCTTCCCAAAACCTCGCTGCTGCTATCCAGGAGCGAGACACCCTTTTATTTGGACACAACTGGCATCCACCATTCTGCTTCCACTCCAGCTGCCATCGTCTGCCACCGCTGCCCCTCTCCCACAAAGGCGTCCCACTCCCACTGGCCTCATCCTCCTCACCAGCACCATTCCCAAACAGGAAGCTGCCAAACTTGAACAATCCTCCTCCTCCTCCCCATCATCAGCACCAAAGTAGCAGTCGCCAAACTTGATCCACCCAGACTCGAACCCCAATCACCGGCTGCTGCTGCCGCTCCTATCCCCCAGCGGCAGCCCGTTGGCACCGTCCCCCTCGTCGTCGTCATCGGTGCCGAAGTAGCGGTCGCCAAACTCACCAATGCCCGGCACGACTCGGAAGTGGTCGTTGATGGCCACGTCGATCTCCGATGTCACGATCTTGATGCGCGGGAACGCATGGCACAGCGTGTGAATGCCCTCTGGGGCCTGGAGGGTGGATGGGAGGGGAGGAGGTAGATGCGGTGAAAGGTGAGTGGAAGAGGTTCGGTGGGCAAAAAGGGGGAAGAAGTAGGAATGATGCCTGGGTCCGCAACAGGCTAGGTGACATTCGGCACTGACCGAAGGGGAGCTGACTGGAATTACAGTGCGAGACAGGACAGGGTACTCAATGAGCGAAAGGGATGGTCCTCCTGGTCGCATTGAAGCAGGACAGTCATGGAGATGAGATTGAGGAAGATGATGCGGGCTTTCGAGATGTCTCAAAGAAGGTGATCAGTGAGAAAGGAAAGGGCTTTTAGTGAGACGGGAAAGGGCTTTTAGTGAGAGGGGAAAGGGCTTTTAGTGAGAGGGGAAAGGGCTTCTAGTGAGAGGGGAAAGGGCTTTTAGTGAGAGGGGAAAGGGCTTTTAGTGAGAGGGGAAAGGGCTTTTAGTGAGAGGGGAAAGGGCTTTTAGTGAGAGGGGAAAGGGCACTCACAGAGATGAGGTTGAGGAAGATGATGCGCGACTGTGGCACCCCCTTGGCAATGAGCGTCTCAATGGCCTTCATGGCTGAACTGCCTGTGAGCGATCGATGGTGGAGGGGACAGATGGGGAGGGTTGGCAGCAGCACAAGTCACGTATGCACTGGAAGTACAGTCGTGCACGGGACACATTGCCTCGAACAGCAATGAACGCATCAGTGGAAATGGGATTCCATGCACATAGCAATCAAGTAGAGTAGAGCAGAGCACAGAACAGAGCAATCAGTCCACAGAAGCGGGCACGAGCATACCGCATGCAAGGATGGGGTCGAGGAGCAACACGTGGCGCGACGCGATGTCGCTTGGAAGCTTCTCGTAGATCACCTGCGTGACATGGCATGATGGATGGCAGTCAGAAGCAGAACAGATGCGCAGCAGCAAGGTACTAAGGCGAGCAGCACGCAAGCAGCATCCCGAGGGGTAACCAACCTTTAATCCCTTCCTCAGTCGAACTTCTTTCCATAATCTTTCCTCCTTCCCCTCATCGCTCACCTCCTTCCCGTCGTCCCCTTCACGGTGAATGAGAATCTTTCCCAGGCGGATGCCCTTCACACAGGCTCGTAGCGCATTCTCCATGCTCTCGCCACTACAGTTGTCGATGGCACCATGCATGGCAGCACGCATGACAGCATGTATGGCAGCACGCATGACAGCATGTATGGCAGCACGCATGACAGCATGTATGGCAGTACGCATGGCACCATGAATGCCAGCAATCATGACATCAGAAAACACAGGACACGGCAAGAGCGGCATGAGCCTTCAAACACAAATACTCCTGCAACGTGCATGAAAGGTGTGCAGGTGTTTCTGAATGTAGATTGCGCCTGAATGTGCATGAATGTGCATGAATGTGCATGACTGTGCCTGAATGGCCGTGACGACCTGCTTCTCCACGAAGGGCAGGTGGCCCAGCCTTGAGACTTCTCAAAACAAGAAAAACCCTCTGAAACTTCAAGTACCTGCGTATGATGGAGACACCGCAGAGGTTCTTGCAGAAGTCCACACCCACGTAGGTGGAGCCGGTGGGGGTGACGACCTGCTTCTCCACGAAGGGCAGGTGGCCCAGCCCGTGCTCCACCACCAGCCGGATCAGCCGGTCCGCGTAGAACACAAAGTCGTGCTTGCGCGTGTCGCGATTGCGGATCAGCGTGTGCATGCCCCGGATCTGGAAGGAATGGGGGAGAAAGGAAGGGACAGGGACGCAAAAGAGGGGTTTGATGCGCATAAGGCGGTCCGCGTAGAACACAAAGTCATGCTTGCGCGTGTCCCGGTTGCGGATCACCGCCCGCTCATACGCTTCACAGCCCGGTTGCAGCCTAACAGCGTAACAGCCTAACAGCCTAACAGCCTAACAGCGTAATAGCGTAACATCCTAACAGCCTAACAGCCTAACAGCGTAACAGCCTAACAGCGTAACAGCCTAACAGCGTAACAGCCTAACAATGTAACAGCCT